TAACAATGTCTGTACTTAGTGTACTAACAATGTCTGTACCTGGTGTACTAACAATGTCTGTACCTGGTGTACTAACAATGTCTGTACCTGGTGTACTAACAATGTCTGTACTTAGTGTACTAACTATGTCTACATGGACCACCGCTGTGTGTGTGTGTGTGTTATGATGTCTACATGGACCACGTCTGTGTGTGTGTGTGTGTGTGGCGTGATGTCTGCATGAACCACGTCTGTGTCTGTGTGTGGCGTGATGTCTGCATGAACCACGTCTGTGTGTGGCGTGGTGTCTGCATGAACCACGTCTGTGTGTGGCGTGGTGTCTTCATGAACCATGTCTGTGTGTGGCGTGGTGTCTACATGAACCATGTCTGTGTGTGGCGTGGTGTCTACATGAACCATGTCTGTGTGTGTTGTGATGTCTACATGGACCACGTCTGTGTCTGTGTGTGGCGTGGTGTCTGCATGGTCTGTGTCGTGTAGCCTGCAGCATACTGCCAGGTCATAGATGGATGTTTGTTTATTTGTTTGTTTGTTTGTTTGTTTGTTTTTTGCTTCTTATATTTCCTGTAGACATACGAGGTCTCTCCCAGACGTAAGGTTCCCTGTTCTTTGAAATCAAACATGTCTATTTTACAGACGTGAACTTTCATTGTTGGTTTTACAGACCAGAAAACTTTGCCCCGGGACTCACCTTCTGTTCCCCTGTGGCATGCATCCTAACCTTCACTCTGCAAACTTCCCAGCTGTTTTATCAGTCCCCCCCCCCATTTTGAAGGCATCTATATTGGGCTATTGGGCAGAACCTCTTAAAGTTTAGGATTTGGGGACACAAAGGGTATATAATATACTAGCTGGGTACACATTCGATGTATGGACTCAAAAGAATCGATTGTCAAGTCTTTGTTGAAACAGTGCGCACAGCTAGTGAACGGAAGTCTCACTTGTTTACAATATGGCGTCTTAGAAGACGGGCTTTCCCAAGATTAGATCTAAACAAAACTAATGAAAACCTGAAAATCAAACTACAGTGACCCCGGACTCTTAATATTACAACTGTGCACCCTTTCAATGATTCTGAACCACCGTTGTTTGTTTCAAATTCGAAAGTTAAGTGGTTCGGGAGTTTTAGGCTGCCAAAATGACGTAGGCTACTTTCACAATTGAAATAGAATATATAGAGACGAGTAATGTCGAGATAATACTTGAAGCTGCTTGTTTACGTGTGTTGGTGTTGTTTCCTGTTGTAGTCAGCCAGTCTCTTTCTCTTTTTCCCATAACAAGTCTCAGATGATGTTACTTTGTTACACTCGTGAAAATACAAACGTTTTTTTTACTCTGCACGGCGCATGCGTCTCCACATTGCTGTCTGTTCTCTGTCAGCTTTCTGTGTTCTGTGTGGGGAAATAGTCAAATAAGATCAGATAAGATAAGATATGATAAGGTAGATCTTTATTGTCCAGATCCTGGCACATTGGTTTGGTGTTTCACCACGTGTACACAC